TCGTCTGGATGACACTCATATTCATTTTAAAGTCGAACTACAAACTTTAGGAGGTGAAGGCTGGTTTGGAATGGTAAGAGATTATTATATATATCTCTCTCTTTAATTGAACTTTCAAATAACTAACTAATATCTTGATTATTAAGGGATTTGATCCATCCGATAACGGTATGAAAGGAGCGGAATTTATCATAGGCATTGTAAGATTCAGGGAATTATTTTCTATTAATTACCTTTGAAACTGTATATACACTAATCCGTTGATTTTTTTTTAATAGGTTAAAGATAATAAGGTTGAATTATCAAATTATCGTGCCGCTGAGGCCGGATATCATCCACCTATAAGAGAAACCTCTGAAGGTCTTGAAATTAAAAACCCAAATACATCATCATCTTCTGGTGGCATTACGACAATTGAATTTAGTAGACCTTTAAACCCATCAGGTCGAAAACAAATCAAGCGCGGAAAGATGAAATGTATGTAATATTCAAAAATAGATCTGCCTAAATTATAATTTTACCTGAAATTAGAGATTTGATGAAACCATACGGGCAAATTATTAGCGAATAGACCATTAAATGCTTTGATTAAAACTTCTGTTTTAATATATATACATAATTTATAGATATTATGGCTTACAATCCATCAAGCAGCGGATTTAGTTATCATGGAAATAACCGTCAATTGGTATCAATTAATTTCTTTACGAACGAATTTTCTGCATCAAATATCGAAGGAATACAAAAGACAACGCGACTTTTCCATGGAATAGGAATGATTTTAACGTGGTGGTATGTTCATTTAAACTTTAAAATTATCATTTTCGTATTAATGAAATTAATCAATGTATTTACGGGTAAAATTAATTTTAATAATGTTAGTCTGTTATTTCCGATATCAATTTACATTGTTCGATTTCTTAAACACACCAACAATTACTTAAAAATTCATCGTTTCATACAAGTGCTTGGAGGTATTTCAGTATCTACATTCGGTGCTGCAGCAATAGCTACCGTGACAGAAACTAAAACTCCGCACGCATGGTATATTTCATGAATTATATATATGCATACCACGATAACTGTTTAACACACTTTATAATTATTTTTGAATAGGGCGGGTTTAATCATATATTCTCTTGTATTTGTCCAATTGGGTTTGGGGTTGGCGGCTATTTGGGGACAAGCTGCTGTTGTCTCGGTTAATCAAGGATATCCAAGACTTGCCAAAAGAGTCCATCAAATTTTTGGTGCTAGCTTACTTTTGTTTGCTTGGTGAGTGTGATTTAAAAATATCAATTATTTTATGATATCTATCTTATTGAATTTTTATTTTATGTTTAATGGTGATTTAGGGTCAACATCTATTTGGGTAAGGAAAACAAAATATATACATATCTATTTTTTTGTGTGTTTTCATGCTAAGTTTCATTTCCTTTAATTTAATATAAGGCATTGATACTTTTACAAAAACATATACATAGTAAGTTTTTTTTTTTTGTTTTAAAAAAAGGAGAAAAAAGAATTCCCTCGTAATTAAAATTCTTTTTAAAAAAAAAAAAAAATTTTAGTAAATCAACGTATTGGATTGTTGCTTATTCGATATGGATATTTATGTTAATAATTACATTTGTTATGGGGGAACTATGGAGGAGAATGGAAGGGGTAATTAAAATATGTAATACAGAAGAAGCTAAAGTGGATGAAAGAAAATCCATGTTACATGGGTATATTGATCACGAAGATTATAACAGGCTTCCGGAATTTACTTGGGAAGAAATAAATGATCGCGTTCATTCTGGCGTAAGTTTTTAATATTATTAACAATCAAACAAAAATGGGTGAAATTTTTAAAAATATGTATATAAATGTGTGTATATTTTTGTAGGCATACTTGGTTGTATGTGATGGATTGGTAATTGATATTAGAAAATGGATTGGAGTTCATCCGGGTGGTGCGAAAATTCTTGAAAGAGTTATAGGAACTGATATCACCAATGGTATTTATATCTACAAGCTATTTGAAATAAATTTTTAATATATATAATTATATGTAATATATATATATATATATCTTTTAATTTTTTTTTTTTAGATTTTTATAATACACATCAAGAAAATGATATCAAAGAAGATGTAATGACAGCAGATACACCATTGTTATCAACTTATAAAACCAATAATAACAGCTCATCAATTCTTAATAAGTATAGTTCTATTTTAAAAGGAGATGGTCCAAACAAAGGTTCCGGTATATTGAAGAATAAAAACGTGGCTAATGCAGTTGATAATCTTAATATAAAGTATTTTTCAAAATCGCCATTAGCTAGTCACAGACATAGTGTATTTGCAACAAGAAAATTGGCAAATATGACTATAGGTAAATTAAATGAAAACTCTTCAGAAAAGGTAGTTTCACCAAGTTCACCAACATTTGGACCTAATAGAGATACTAAACGCAGAGATACTAGATTTTTTGATGATGAATTTGCGACGACCCAAGAATTAAATCAGAGAATTAAATTTAGTAGATATAAATTAACAAGTAAATCAGCTGTTAGTGCTAACAAAAAATACCCAGTTATGAGATTGATATTTACCAGAGTTCATCAAGATAATAATGATTTATGGAATGAACCCTTTATACCTGGACAATATATCGAAGTACAATCTCGTATTAAAGGACAGGTTGTCGTTAGAAGTTATACTCCTATTGAAGGAAAATTGTCAAAATCATTTTCTATTTATGTTAAAGTTTATCCTAATGGATTAATGTCAAAACATTTGGTAAATTCAAATTATATTCGAAACATTTAATTTTTGTCGCTAATTTCTTTAATTAATTTTTTTTTTATGTTTTAAATTTTGTAGAATGAACAATTGATAGGGTTCGAAATTCAAGTTCGTGGACCCTTTGACGTTTCAGATAGAATTGGACTCGGTAGTTTACAAGGAGAAACAATGAGAAGATCTAGTATTCTCGTGCCTCCTTCCCCCTTATCACCATTAAAAGGTTCTTTGCTAAATCCAAATAGTTTTGATGGATGTTGGGACGAATTATTCATGATTTGTGGAGGAACCGGTATAACTCCAATGTTGCAGGTATGTAATCAATTAAATTAATTTATATATATATATTTCTATAAAAAAAAAAAAAAATGCTGATGAGTTATATTTTTATTGTAGTTAATTAGATATCACCTTGCACATATTAACAATAATGATGAAACTGGAAAAAGACATAGAAGAATTCATATGCATTTATTATTTGGTAATAGAACTATCGAAGATGTAATTGATGGTATAAGATTAGAAGAATATTCATTTTCAAGTAGAGGAATGCTTACAATCAGTTACGTTCTTTCGAACCCACCCGAAGGATGGTCAGGTTTACAAGGACAAATTAGCCCGGGAATAATACGAAAATGGTTAAGCGAAGTCAAAGCCATACCACCAACTACACCCACATCATCTGTATCACAATTTGGAGATATACATAAGTGCCATACTTTACGTGCGCATGGATATGATTTACCTAAACAAACAACGTTAATATGTGACGAACCTCCACCAATACCTGCCAAACCATCGTTATCATCTCGTGATGATCTTCTTTCGTCGCCTAAATATCAAGGGTACTCTTCACCACATCAACCATGTCCTCAAACAATTACGGAAGAACCAACGTCAAGAGTTAATCTTCCACAAATTGAAACAACACGACACAAACCTGCTCCTCTAGATTCAAATAGTTTGCATTCACCATCACATAGATCACCCACTTCATATCATCCATTATATAACCATGAAGGGCATGAAGAAAATCATGAGAAAATGCGAGGTTCGACTTCTAATGCTATAATGAATTTGTCAAACTTTAAAATTATAGTGTGTGGTCCACCGGGAATGATAACGATTGTTGAGCAAACATTATCTGAAATGGGTTATTCTGAAAATGATTTTATTTTATTAATATAAATATGTTTATGTTTGTTTATTTTACTGTATATCAAAATGTAGTGTATTAAAAATAATATTTTCTATCGAACGGCCCTAAAGGGTCATGCCAAGTTTGTTTGACCAATATTTTACTATATTTTGCATCAATAGTTAATCATCGTATAATATTGGTTTATCTGTGTACAATGTTGTTATATCATAATAGCAATAAAATGATAAACATTTAAACGTTTACAATATTAATTTTATATTGATATTCCACATTGAGTTTAAAGCAAAAGTTAAAATTTATTAAAATGTATAAATTCAATCAAATATTTTGAAAAACTAATCTTCTTTAGCTGCGGGAATCCTTTATTCTTTTTAGTATTACAATATTTTAAATATCAATGTGTTAAATAAGTTTTATAATTATTAATAAAAAAAAAAAAAGAATAAATATAAGAAAATTTAGTTTATTACATATTATACTTTGTTTCTTTATTATTATGTAAATTATCTACCAAATGATCAACTTGCTCTTATACTTTAAGTAATTTATAAGATTCCAAACTTGTTACTTTTTTATGTTAGGTTCATTAAATCACTTATAATTCCTAATTTTAAAGCTTTTTTACAAATTTTTTACATCTAATATGATTTGTAATCTTTTAATTAATGCAATCAATATTATATATTTTACATATTTTATTTATAATATGTTTTAATTGATTTAGTTAATATGAATTTTTTTATACTAACATCCTATATACTGTATAAAAGTTAATACTACTATTTTTAAAACTCTTATCTGATTTTTAAAGTAAACATTAGTTATAAAAATAGTAATATTAAATAAATTAATTATTAGAAAATAAAAAATTAATGAATTTTATAAAATAAATTGAATACATTAGTAGGTTGTCTTAAGATATATTAATATATTAATATGTCTTAGGACAACCTACTTACATTAGACTAATATGTCCTAGGTCATTATAATCTATTAATTAATATGTACTAGGATATTATAATCTATTAATTAATATGTTCTAAGTCATTATAAACCGTTGACTAATATGTCCTAAAGATAGGATCTGCTTTCTCTGTTTGTGACTTATTGGTCAGTAAATATAGGTGTAGTGTGTACCTATTTGGTTGCCTTTAGGATGAAAAAAGGTGATGGGTGACGTAATAAATTCGATGTAAATCTGCGTTTAAATTTGGTTAGTACTATAGCATAATTTCTAGTCGATCTTTTAGGCATATGGTTTGAGAAGGCGTCATAGTAGTGACCTAGTAGTATCCTGAAGCTATCATGAAACTGGCAGGAAACCTAAGTGTTTTTATTAGTTTGCCAGTTTCAGGCCAGCTTGGATGCTGAGTTATATTCTACTTTTTGATTACCTATTTGTTGCTGATATATTAGCGGGATGTTATAAGCACTTCTGAGGTCTGATCATAATTTAATCTAGGTTGAGGCAATAAGTATGCTAATTTTTAAGCGTTTCTAGTGTTCTTAGTAAAAGTAAAGTTCTAAGAAAAAAAATCAAAACTTATTTTATAATACATATATATGCCATATATGTGATATATATATGTTATAAAAATGCAATTTCATATTTGCTATGTGAAGACATAATCCGTCCTAGTTATCTAAGTTATTAGGTCAACTAGGACGGAAACTAGGATGGGTCTTGATATGGAAGAAGAGCTTCTTTCTTTAATTTAATTTGTTTTTTTATATTACGTTTTAGTTATTCTAGTTGTTCTAGTAAAAATAAAAATTCTAGAAAAAAAAAAATCATAACCCTTCCTATGGTATATATATAATATACAGTATCTATGCTATTTGTATGTTATATAGATATATACTGGTATATCTATAGGTAAAAAAATAAAAAAAAGTAAAGAAGTCCAAAATTTACTAGGACAACTAGAACAACTAAAACAGACTATTTCTTTCTTTTCATTCATCTTAAAATTATCATTTAGCTATATTTTATCCATCTTAGAAAATTTTGACAACTAGGACAACTAGGATAACTAAGACAGACTATTTCTTTCTCTCCATTCGTCTTAAAATTACCATCTAGCTATATTTCATCCGTTCTAGAAAATTTTGGCAACTAGAATAACTAGGACAACTAGGACAGAAACTAGGAAAAAATTTCTAGAACAGTTTGCTGAGACATATTCTCAACTTGCTTAGCCAGCTTTTTCTGATGATAATGTTCTCTCGATCTATGTTTTTTTGCATGTGTATCACAATAATCATATCTAGATCTTGTCAGCTTATTGCATTCTTTACAAGGAACTTGTTTAGAATTCCAATAGACTTTACATCCCTTTGGATCATAGCATCTCTAATTACACACTTCTCCAGTCCTAAGAATATATGGACAATAATAATAATTTCAGGATGGATCCTTCTGGAATTGTGTCTCCTTTTTTTCACCTTCCATTTGTATATATCTATTAATAATATTAGAGAATTATTTTCATTTTAAACTTTTTTCTTGCGAATAATATATCTCGAATTTTAGTATAATTATAAATTGTTTGAGAAAAAAATGACACAATCTGAGCTTTCAGAGTTTCTCAATGCCCTCACCTCATATAAACAAGATTTTAAAGCTGAAGATGTCAGCGAATGCTTATATAAAATTCGTGATGATAGTGTTAGACCAAGACATTTCTTTGGTGCAGACAATAAGAATGAAATAGAAGTTATACTTTCAGATCGTAAAGGTCATTCCTTATACGAATATATCGATGGTGATGAGCCACTCTGGCCTATCATTGATTTTGACTTACCAGTAGAAACATTAAATGCTATATCTCTCAAGCTTTCAGGCAAACAGGCGAAAAATTTACTTTGTTATGCCTTTAGAGATACTTATCTAGAAATTTTTTCAAAATGGGATAAAGAAAATATGTCTATTGCCGAAAGTAGTGATGAGAAAAAAATATCTCTACATATCTTAACTTCTAACATGAAACTTTCAAATATTGCTTGGGTCACTATATTTACTTACTAAGCTTGTTCGTAAAAAACTTCTAACAGAATTACAGGATAAAGGTATTGTAGATAATATAGCAAACAAACGATCATTTTCCTTGCAAATGCTTGGATCACCCAAATATAATCAAAAAATAGAGGAACATATTCGTATAAAAAAGCTATTCGTCCAAAAGATGGAACTATCTTTGATTTTATAATTAGACTGTCCAATGATGAATTAGAAGTCGTAAAAAGTCCTATCTTAGATGTTCCAGAGCTAGAAGTTAAAAGATTCCTAGTAGAAAATAATGATATAGTTAGCGAAACCACTGAAGTTGAATTCGAAGTGATAGAGATATTACTTAAAGAAGCTGATATTGAAGGATATAGCCTTTCATATCCATTTGATAATTTTCCTGATAAGTTTCTATTGTCATGCACCTCTCCATCACAATGTCCATTATGTGATCAGAAATATACCAGTGATAATGCATATATCAGATGAAATAAAAAATCTTATAGCTTTTTCTGTTACTGTGCCAATTAAGATAAACAGCCTAAGACAAGAGATCCTTCATTAAAACTTGCTATTAATGAAACAGCTTTAGATAAAGAGAAAAAGCTTCAATGTTCAGTGAAAAAGGACTGATCTAGAATTTCAAATCCAAATGACCATTTCGTATAGTGGGACTTATTATGCATATGTACTTTAGGTAAGAAATTCTTCTACATTAAAGTTTATAAAGCTATTCAAGCAACAGTTGCCTGCGTGTAAGAAACTTCAAAATTGTGGTTCATTAAACATGAAAATAGATAGAATGGGCTTTACTTTGATATGGGAGTTGAACTAAAGCTTGCTGATTTTAAGATTAAAATTATCGAATATGAGGGTGAATCTGTGAAGTTAAAGTCATTGATAGTCTAAGCAGTTATTAGAGATCTAATAATTTATAAAGATTGGAATTTCCTTTCATATTCAATAAACACTCTTCAGCTGAATACAGATTTCTTTAATCTTTTCTTAGGATTTTTGGCTAAGCCAGTATCAGAAATTAATAAAGAAATTATGGATCTGATTCTCTGGCATATATTGAATATAATCAGTAATGGAAATGTAAAACTTCATGAATATCTTTGGGATTAGTAAGCATATTTAGTGCAGAAGTCAGAGAAGAAGCCCTGAACTATCTTAGTACTAAAATCTATACTACAGCAGTGCAGGAAAAATATTATTACAGACTTTATTGGTGACAAAGTCTTAGGGTGACATCTCCATTATGCTACATCAGATTTGAAAAAAATTCTTAGACGTTTTAATAGCGTCATTCAAGTTTAAAAATTTATTATTATGAACAAGACTGGAATGTCTAGTGGAGATTGGCATAGATTTAATAGGCATCTCAAATCTTTTATAACAGAAGGAATAGTAACTATAGAGCGTAAAGGTCTTGAATTCAAATGATTATATGATTTTACCAGGTATATAGTTACAAGCAATTAGGATGTCTACTCAAAATAGATATAGGAATTCTCATATAGTCTGTTTTGATGTCTCCTCACACTGTAAAGGAAATAAAGCTTATTTTAAGCAACTAGGAAATGTTCTTGACCATCCTGATGCATCAGGAGTAGTTATGAAATATCTTCTTAGTTGTAATATCTTAGATTTTGAATCACAAGAAATTCTTACAACTAAAATGAAAATAGATACAATGTAAAATCAACTGCCTAATTCTATTCATTTCATAATTGATTATATTTCCTCATGAAGTGAAAATCAAGTAGCCAAGCCAAGTTGTATATCATTATAACAAAACTATGTTGAATAGTATAAAGGGAATGGTGAAAAGTTATTTTCTAACAACATCTTTAGCAAAAAATTCTCGCAGATTAATATCGAACGCAAGAGGATAAATGATAGAGTAAGAGTATATCAGTATATTCTTAACCACTCTAAGATTATAGCCAAGCTCTGTGAATCTGGCTTAGATGATATCAAAAAATTTTCTAACATATCTCAAGATGAGTTGCTAGTTAATAAACCTGCAAATATATCCATATTCAATGTACCAGAAATTATTCTCC